AATGTTATCGCCGACTATATGTTTGACTTTCACAGTTGTCACTCAACCGTTCAGCAATGCCATCTTATTGTGGACCTTATTTCAACCTCCAATGAGTTGGGGCAGTATTATTCGAAGGCGTTTCTTGATGTGGCTTAGGCTACTTCCTAATCTTCCCCAGTTATCACCGGTACTTCGGATCATTAAAAGGTCGGCGTCTTCCCCAAACTGGTCCTAGCTTGCCTAATCCTAAGCTGCGTTTTGGCTCCACACTTTACCCAATGACATCCCATCCCGACCTCAAACCACCATCCTGAGAACCACAGACCCTTCCCAAAACTACCTTATGGTGTTCTACACTTGGTGCACGGCTGACATCTCATCCTGTACTCAAACCACCACAGAAGCAATATTCAACCCAGAAAAATCTACCTTCATTCTAAGAAAAAAAAATCCTCAAGTTTACTTCCATAACATTTTAGAGATCTTTCAAAACAATTTGACAAAGGTAGAACTTCGAGACTTTTTGTCAAATGTGTCTTTTTTTCTTTTTTTTAATGAGGGAGTAAGAAAAATAAAACAGATGTGATTGAAAGGCGCCTTTTAATAGACAACTACAGAGTCGAAATCCCGAAAACGTAATAATCGAACTAAAGGACGTGGTTTCTAGGGCTCGACTTTATAGATCGTAAAAACAACGGGAAGCTACCAATAAATCCGTCATGAAGTCACTGAAAGGCCTGCATCGTCACACAGTTTCGTGCTTTTAATTTTAATGAAGTTGTCCAAATTCCTAAACCGATGAAAAATCTGTTGGAGGCAAAACTGGTGCAGAAGAACTTTGTTTCCTAAATTCATCAGTATCTTTTGAAACATAAGGTTGTCGTATAGGACCTTTCCGATTCACCTCGTTCATTGGTTTGGAACCACTTGGCCAATTTTAGTAGGCTGTAGAGTGAATAGTTCCAACCATTGTAGTGATAGTATTCTTACCACCATTTTTTAAATTTGGTTTTGTCATGTGACTTTCTGTCAACATTTACCCGTTGACATGACCGTCACCTATTGCTATACATAATTTTATTTGTCATTTTAGCGCAAATTTGTTATTGTGACAAATGTGCGACAAGTAAGAAACCAAGCCTCTACTAAGAAACATTGGTAAACAGTGAAATGACCTGGTGTCATAACAGACATGCACAGCAAATACAAGCATGCCAGGGCAAAAAAATCCCCTTTAATTTTTGACGAACTAAAGATATAATTGGACTCCAACATTGAGATTAAAATGGAATGTTAGATGATTAGAGGAGTTAGGAATGAGTAGGTTAGGTAGGGACCAGTTTATATGATTTTAAATTTCATAGTTTTTTTTCGTAAGTTTTTTTGTATACAGAAGGCCTGATAGAAAATAATATCGGTTAGGTTAAGTTAGGGAGGGATAGAGTTAGATATGGGTTATATTAGGTCAGGGAGTTATGTACGGGTTAGGTAGCGTTATATACGTTACGTATCGTACGCAATTTACGTTAGGTAACGTTAAAAATCTATAGACAGGTAAGTTACAGTTAGGTAGGGTTATGTTAGATTAGGTGGTCAGGTTAGGTTAGGTTACGTATAGACATGAAGCGGAGAAAATATGCCAGCGCGATGAGTGAGTTTAAGTAAATCAAGTTAAGATAATTAATTAGCAATAATCATCATAGTATTTTAAAATAAGAAACACACAAAACATAACCGTAGAGGAGGTTAAAATTAACCTATTACGTCTCCTACTAGATTATGAGGTACACATAAATCGATCTTTTTGACGTTTTTAATGTTAGTCAAGTGTCTTGAAACTGTGTGAAATTGTATTCACTAGTACTAATTTCTTTAACAGTTTGGTCAGAATTTTCTTCCATTCTGTAAGCTTGAGGTCTTTCTCGTTGTCGGAAAAAATCGCATTGATGATGATATTTCTTGAGACTGGAATTGATGTACGAATTGATTCGCCAGACGTTGTCCGGTTGACTCTTTGTCGGTGATGAATCATACTTCCGTCTTGAAATGATGACACAGGAGTTCAACACGTCCGTTCGTTTTTCGTCCGAGACGATGACAGTTGATTAGAGCCATCCATGGCTCAAGGTAGAGCTTTATTTATGCTTATACCCACCCTACGCTGATATCGGACGAAAGTCTTTGCTCATTGTTTGCCGAGAAATACCTTCCTTCTTATAACACGTCGGATGTTACAAACAAAAAGACAGTTGTAGGTTGGTCTCTCGAGTTGAACTAATCGACTCTGACGAAAGCAACGTTCATCCGTTAATTTAATATTTCTGATTGGTGGTACATCGGTGACCGTTACTCGAGTGCCGATTGTTTCAATAGGAAGCTCTATTGAACACTGTGAGCTTTCTAAAACCCGTTTTTTGTGTGATTTTCTGGATGCCGACACGTTTTGAAATATGTCGCGTAATGATATACCAGTTAGAAAGGGACTTTCTTTTCTTTATTTCCTCGAAAGAGTTTATTAGTGGAAGGTTTATTTAATTGGTATCAAGCGTTTCACTAGTAGGTGATACATGGTGAAGTGTAGCACGGTAAGGAGGAGACTGCTTGAGCTCCAATTGTACCGTTAGAGGCATTCTTGCCATCGATATGCTGGTCATTTTCCTCGTCCTGGAACGGTCCGTGATATTCAGGTCATTTTTCCTTTTGTCCTTGTGTCATGTAACCGAATACGTCAATCACATTTTATTGCCCTTTTACCTTATTATAAAAACAGTTGGCTTAAGTAAACCTACATTCCGTAAAACTTTTGGTTCACTAATTTCGGAAATAAACGTGCAAAGCTGTGTAAAATCGGCTAACGTTCAAATCACATTTGAACGATAAGAACAAAACTCGTAAAACTTATCGAACCTTCAAGATAAAACGTAATTACAATAAGTATCTAGTATCTTCTAAACTTAGCATAAAAATTTTGCAAGGAATATATGTTTTTCCATTCAAATAAATGATTCTATAAAGAAAAAAATTACATAAGAATTTTATGTTCCAGACTCCCATATGAACTAAATGTTTACATGTCACTGCAACGATAACTTCACATTCGATCATAAGAATTATTTCATAATAATTTTTATGTTACAACAGCTTAGAGGAATGTCGGGGCAAGGATTTGGGATGAAACGTCTTGGACTAGGAATTTGTGACGGAGGTTCAGAGTTTTATGGAGGCGTCTATATCGACTTCTTGTGATTTACAGCATAAATGGGGTCTGAAGGTCTGTGTGGATAACGTTGGACAAAACGGAACTTGGTAAATGGTTCGAAGGAATTTGGACTGGAGTGACTGGATTCTTGGAGTGTGGGGTTCCAAGTAAGTCTTTTGTTGATGTAAGGTCTAGGGACGACGATGGTTGCTTAGGTAACAGAGTTCTATTTTGGACGAGAGTTGATTCAATGAAAGGTGAAGGTTATTTCCTTGGATTTGGTTTCTTTCGCTCTTGGGAAAGGAAGAGAGCTGCAGATTGTAGTAGAGTTCGTACAGCGACGAGTGAAGGTTATTTTCTTCGATTTGGTTTTGTTGGTTGCACGCAAAAGGTGAAAGTGATCCATTTCTAGAACAATTCATCCTAACAGAGATGGTCCTGGAGGTCTCTGAAGGTCAATGGGTCTGGATTTGCTGAAAGGATGGCGATATTGTCTGTATATGTGAGTATCGGGATTGACAGCGCTGCTGTGTCTACTGAATTGAGAATGGGACAAAGGATGCTACTTTGCGGAATATCCCAATTTTTATGCTCCATTTTCGGAACCATGGTTCAACGGTAGGGGTCTTGAGGAGGGATCAAACTGCTAGGACATGATCGAGGTTTGCAGAAAGGATTTCTGTACAGACAGCAAAGATAAGGGGGTGTGTCAATGTGTACATGCTGAAAAGCATCCCAGGAGAACATCTGAGTATAGAATGGATAGGAGAAGTTCGGTACCATGGATGAATCGATCATGTAGGAAGGATCTTAGGAGAGAGGATTTTTAGCAGCTTGTATCTCTACTTTATCCCGAATCAAACTCAACGCCAGAAAATCCCAGAAAGTAACCTTCACCCTTTATCACATCATCACTGTAGAGCTGCATCTAGACGTGCGACCGACCTGGAATCCCCGTAAACGATTCAAAACCTACCAGATTACAGATCGAACCCCCCCCCCTCGACAACAAAATACTCATACAGCTGAGTACTGAATCTAATCGGGACATATTGTAAAGAACTATCAGGTTCAACAGAACCTTCCAATCTCCACAGAATCCAGAGCCTTCTTTCACGAATCCTTAGATAAGGAGTCAACTCTTCTATATTTCCAACGATACCAAACGACCTAAATGTTCCCTTCATAAAAGATCCAGCTACAAAAAAATCCCTCACTAACCTCGACAACAAAACACTCATATATATCTCAATATTGAAATCGTTTATTACATACAGCATAGAGCTATGGGGTTCAGCCGAACCTTCCAATCTTTACAGAATCCCAAACGTAAATCAGTATATTCAGTGTCAACAGTTCTGTTTCCAAGCACACCAAAACGACCTAAGCGTCACGTACAACCTTCCAACAACGCCTCGATGTGTTAAAGGACTGCAGATTGTGAGAGTGATTTTAATTATCAATGATTTGGGAGTGTCATCACAGTATGGCTTCTCGACTCGATTTATTGTCATTTTTATCTCTATGTGATCCATGTGACTATACACTTCTACTAAATGTGATGACAGTTTTCTGCACCATAGGTTTATTTGGGTCGGTTGAAGTGGTTCAATCGATTTAAAATTAAAATTAAATTAAAAATAAACTTTCCCATGAACAAATTAATGCCTAAAAACGACAAAAGATTACGCAAGCACCCACACTTGACTATCACACTTTAAGATTATCTCGTTATCAGATTTGCAGATATTTGGGGCAATTTTTTAAAAATCGAAATCGCCTTTCTGAATGAGTTACTTAGTATAATAGAGTACCACCCAGCAGATAAGAGATGTCATAAGTACGGCCGTACACAAACTATTATCATACCTTGATTAGGATGTTTGTACACAAAATATGATACTAGAGAATATGTCTTCTTAAATTTACTTTATTTTAAAACGATAAGCGTTGGAGATAAGTGTAAAAATAGATACAGTATATACGGTAAAAACCGAAAATTGATCCTACAATCTTGTATTTTTTTAAGAGAATAAAGTCGTTTTCGAGAAATGATGGGAGAAAGCGGACTGGGAGTGCCACTGAGAAACCGACGTAGGTCATTTAGCCAGGTATTCAGAGGGACAAGCAAAAGCTTCTATTTCTTCTCATCCGATCTTATCCTTCTTTTCTCTCTTTCTATCTATCTTAACTCTGATACTATCGACTATCAGAGCCACCTCTCAAACCGTATCGGAAAGGAAGACCCATTGTACCGTACAAAAGAGCTATGCAATAGGAACTTCCTGTCAATTCATCTCGACAGTTGTTATGCATGGAATGCATTCAAATTGATAACATCAACAAACACATGAAGACACCGGCGACTGTTTTTATTTTACGACCATGGTTGCCATTTAAAAAAAAAAGAAGTACGTTTTAGTCACATTCTACCTCAAGGACATTGGAGCCTGAGGCACATTTAATCCAATTCGATCCTTCCAGGACAAACAACTTGTGTGCTTGTATAAACGTATCAGTCAGATGTCTGACTAAGGACTACAAATCGGGTTTAATTGTGCCGTTTCATCTGGCTCAAGTGAACCGTTGCCACGAAAGACAAAAGGGACCTTTTTTTAAAGTGGACCATTGTTACGGTTTTGATAACCATTGAGTCTAACCGTCGATTCAATTTTCACCAATTGTCAAAAGCAGACAATTTGGGAGGGAAAGTTTTTTTTTGGTGTGTGTGTGTTTTGAGAATGGAACAAGGAGACAATGGGCTTCGAGGTGTAAGGATGCATACCTGAAAAACTTCAATGACCGCTTAGAAGAGTTGTTTCATACGGAAAAACTCAACATTTCTCTCACTCCACTTTCTTTGTCTTTCTCTCCCTTTCTTTGTAAGTTTCTTTCTCTTTCTTTCTCACTAGATCTTTCCCTATCATTCTTTCTTTCTCTCCGTTTCTGTCTATATCTCTCTCCTTATCTATCTTTCTTTCACTCTCCCTCCCTCTTTCGCTTCCTTTCTGATTCTGTCTCTCACTCATTTTCTGATTCTGCCTTTCACTCTCTCTCTCTCCCCCCCTCTCTCTGATTCCGTCTGTCTCCTTCCCTCTTTCACCCTCTTTTTTATTCTGTCACTCACTCATTCTCTGATTCTCTCTTTCTCTTTCTGTCTGTCTCCATCTCTCTTTCCCTCTCTCTCTATCTGTCTGTCTGTCTATCTATCTATTTTTCTATTTATTTATCTGTCACTCTGTTTCTCTCACCCTCTCTCTCATTCTCTCTCTCTCTGTCTGCTTGTCACTTTCTCTCTTTTTCTTTCTCTCTGTCTCCCCCTTTTTCTCTGATTCTGTGTCTCAATCTCTTTCTGCATCTACCTGTCTCTCTTTCTTCTCTGTCTCTCGCCCACTCTCTTTTTTCTTCTCTCTTTCTTACAGTTGTTTTTCTCCTCCCTATGTCTCTCTTTCTTTCACTCTCTATTTCAGCTTCTTTCACACTCTCTCTCACTCTCTCTCTCTCTCGCTTACTTTCACTCTCTTTTTTTTTCGCTTATAAGATTGTTGTTTTATACAGATAAACTCCATAGTTCTCTCATCGTCTCTGTCTCTTTTCCACGCACTCTCTCCTGAAATGACGCTCTCTTTTTCATTCCCTGTATTAATTTTTCCGGTTCTTGAAAAAAGCTCTCGGGCCAATCTTTAATAGTCGGTTAACCGTCGACTGCCTTTAGTCGTTATTGTCAATAATGATACGTAAATGTGAAAATAGTTTTGATTTTCTGTGAAATTTAACAATCACACTCGATCACAATGGGAAGACAATGCTTAGCATAGTAATCGACCGTGCTCATTTCAACCCTGTGCATTTGTATGCTGATTCACCTAGGCAAGGACGAAATTTCCCGTTCGTCCTGAAGTCTTTTCTCTCTCCGGAGGACCGGAATCGTCACAAAAAAAAACCCAAGGATGAAGAGTTCGGGATGAAACTCTCCCTGAAAGTTTTAGATTTTATTTTGTGTAAAATCTAACGAAACTTCGCGATTTTGAAAGCATCCGGGTATAGAAAAGTGTGTGTAAAGTGCGAAGAGTGAAGCAAGAATGAAGTCCGTTTCGGCTGAAAACTTCATATTTTATTGTTTTTATATTGATTTGATAAACAACCTGATAAAGGAACAAAAGTATTTTATTGTACAATTTCGTTTTATTGTTGGTGCATGGTCTTTCTGCTGAAACTATTTTTTTAAGGATAAAGAAATATCGGTGTAAAGGATGCATGGGGATTGCAACTTTCTAAGTCCTTTCTATGTGCGGGATTAAAGTTTAAAAAAACTTATTGTAAAAAATTAATGAAAGTAGAATTTTCTGAAACGGAGGATCGAGATGTATCAATTTAAACAGAAGAATTAATTACCTGTGGAGAAGGGATTTTCCTCAGACTCGAGTCGATATGGGAACAACGTAATATCGCAGAAAAGATGCCGCAGAGAGAAGGATCGAATGAGAAATAAAAAGTCGGACGAGTAGAGAACGCGAGACGAAGCGAGCCCGGCGGAAACGGTGATACTGAGGACGACTAAGTCTGAGGCATTGCAACCGAGTTGGCTAGGTGAGTGGGTAGGTAGTAGCTGTAGGTACTCGGGTAGTGGGGATGGCCGCCGCTGAGGGGTTGCCGAGTTGAAAGAGAGGGAACGAGGGAGAGCGCCTGACCGATGAGAGAGATGGAATGAGACCGGTCGTCCAAGCCTCTCGTTGCCAACACAACCGGCCGAATTTCCCTACAGTCTCCAATTTCTCCGTTTCCCATCGATTTGCAACTTTTCCGCTTCTCTCTGTTTGAACACATTTGTTAATTCGCGCCTCTACCCTCTACTCCCACGACGACCCTGTTCCCTTGCCCGTTACCGATTGAATCAAGGATTTTTTTGGCCACGTTTCACTCGAACTTCGACCTTTATGCTGATTACTACAAGCTCAGGGTGTTGAAACGTTCCCCCTGCAAATAACCCAAGACACACCTAATTTTGACCAGGTCATTAATGAGGTGAACCTATCAACTCAACTCATATAAGCAGATACGAGAATTTCCACCACAAATATTCTGACAACAAATAACCCAACCAACATACATTGGCCCTCTACAGAAAAGATCACCTATCTTCTCAGAAGAAATATTTAGTCCAACCAACGTTATTGGACCATAGACTCCTCCAAGCCCAACATATCAAAAAAAGAATAAAAGCTTCTGTCCTCCTAGTTCCTACAGCAAGAAAAAAACATTTTGCTGAGAACTTTTTTCATGCTGTTCTGCCAGGGCACCGCGGTGGTCGTCCTGCTCGTATTTGCCCCGCTAGCATTTCTGGGTTCGAATCCTGCCATACTCTATACCTTTTTAATTGAATATTGTAAAATTCTTTGACCCCTCTTTCATGACAAGAAATTAGTAGTTGGTCGTTCAGTTAGTGGTGGTAGGTACCACTACAATTGTTCTGACAACAAATAACTCATTAACACACGTTGGCCCTCCACAAAAAAGGCGAAGTAGCCTCCGAGGAAAATTATTTACTCCAGACAAGGTTACTTGGGTGCATAGAATACTTCAAGCCCTACAGATCAAAAGGAAAAGACGTCCTCTTACAACAAGAGAAAGAATTTTACTGAAAATTTTTTGCATACTGCTCTGCCATGGGACCGCGAAGGCCGAGTGGGTAGGTGGTCCAACTCGTATTTGCCACGCTCGAGATTCGGATTCAATCCAATTAACAATCCATGGTATTTAGATTGTTAATTGTATGATAGCAGTTGTTTGACCCCTCGTCCATGACACCCAATTAGTAGCTGGACGTTAGGTTAGTACTGGTTGATACGACTACAACTGTTGTGCCAAAAAAATAACCCAACCAATACACATTGATCCTTGACAAACAAAGGCTACATAGCATCTCAGGAAAAATATTTACTCCGAACAACTACGCAACCACTACTCTTTGTGATCAGCCTGCGCTCCTTCCTTGTGCTATCGATTGCTTTATCACTTACTACCTTCATGACTCCAACTTCGGGGTCAAACTACTTTACAAAACAGATATACAAATAGGGTTATCAATTAAGAAGCCATGGCCATGGCCAACCAAACCACTCGGGAACGTGGTCCCTTGGTGGAGCAGTCTACTCAAGTCACTTGAGCCATAGAGGTTATTTCAAGCTCTAAAGATAAACAAATTTCAGACAACTTCTCTAAAAATATTAAGAGCAAGCACCTTTCAATATAGCTCCCCTAAAGGACCACGATTGCCGAGTGGTTTGGTCGTCCTACTCGGTTTTGCCACACTAGCGGATTTGGCCATGGCTTCTTAATTGATAACAGTATGAAAGCATTTGTATGTCTGTTTTGCAAAGTAGTTTGACCCCCCACGACCCCGAAGTTGGAGTCATCAGCGTAGTAAGTGAAAAAGCAGTCGGTAGCACTAGGAAGGAGCGCAGGCTGCTCACAAAGAACAGAAACAATGGTACGCCTATTACGATCCCTTGAGGGAATCCCACATAATTCTTTATTGTAATCGTCTAAAATACTGTAGACTATCATCCCTGGAGGTATGAGCCAAACCACATGACCTCTTACACCATACACCTCAAACTACAATTCGCATTTATCTTTGACTGTACCGGTCCGTTTGTTCTCGCTGTGTTTAACGTCGTGTATCTCTTATTAACAGTTTAGCCTGTCAACAACCCGCAAAGTGTATTGGTAGTTGCCCTTGGAGATTAATTGAATTATTATGCATTTAAGGGAGGATTAATTGTCATTTCAATTAGCCAATCTGAAAATATCGCCAAAATATCTCGCCAGTGCTGAGATTAGTCAAAGAATCCGCCGATTTGTACCTTTTAGACGAGATATCACAAAGTTCAAGGAATCGCTTCCAATCGGAGTTCAAGTTTACGTTAGCGTTTCATTTGGCGACCTGTTGATCTTTTGATGCGTCTTTTATCGATTGGATTTCCCTATAGCAACCCAGTGGCCAAACATAAATTCCATCCGCCACTTTACAGCCTTTCACATACCAGGTGATTCGACTTGTCAACGGACAGCAAAAGCGCACAGCACTGTTTTCGAGGGAGCTAAAAGTTAGATTCGACATGGAAATCACAATGATCATCTTTGATATTTTCTACTGTTGTCATTCCACTTGCTAACAAAACGGTAAGCATTTTTTTTTAATCCAGTCATTTATTATCTAGCACCACGCAATCTGTTGTTTGTGTTTTTTCTTCTTGTTTACAACTCCTGCTGCACAATTCATTACATTACTTATAACTAACTAAATAACCAATCTAAGTTACACGTTCAATTTACGACATCTCATTAAATTTTGGACTAAACTATTTTTCAAAATGGAATTGAAACCTGTCAAGAATCCGTAATTTCGTACTGCTGCACGATAAAAAATTCCTAAATCAAATTCTTTTCTAATTTAAATAATTAAAATTGTATTTATCATAATTAAATTTTTTATTTTATTTTTTAAAAATATTTCTATAAGTATTCAAAAGAAAATAAACTTTGCCATCCAAACGCCGACCTATTTGAGAGAGGATTACTCTCACAAACAGTGATTATTTCTACCACTAAAGACAACTGCTTTAGTTCGGTAGGATTAGGGTTAGGGTGGTGTTAAGGGTTAGTTTAGAGTTAGGGTAACGTTAAATTTCTGAGTTTGGGCTAGGGACTAATTAGGTGTTAGAGATAGGTTAGGTAACAATCAATGTTTTTCCATGAAGATGTTCTCCAATTAAGAGGGGAAAATATGCGAATTTTGCTGTGATTTTTTCTTCTCAATACTTTTGTAGTCGTGGGTCCTGTTTTGCTCTTAAACTTGAATCGATACTTCGTTTATTGTGTATGAGCTCTTAATGGTGTTAATGGCCTGGAAGATTTTCGTTTTTAATAAAATGGAGAATTCTTCTCAGAGGTATCCAGGTCCTCTGGAATGGCTTTCCCAAGTACGATAACTTTTTCATAGCCATTACCCAGCAGTTGCATAGGATATGTAATTCGACCCTGGACCGTTTTGACGCATTTGTAATTGTCAAAATAGAAGATCCATCAGACAATGGATTAAAAATAACTCTTTGGTTGTTTCAATACAAATGTATTCTAGGACAAAGGCATTGAAACGGTTAATTAAATGATCCCAGAAACTGACAGTGCATAGGATATGTTCCTTTCTCTCTGTCTCCTCTAGACATAGCAGACATTGGTTTAGTCCAATTTTTAAGTGATACTAGAGCATGTCTCGTAAATATACTTGTTAATGATTTTATTCTTTTATGTTGATTTTGTTGTTCCCTCGTTTACCTGGAATGTCTGCTGCATCGTTAGCTGAAATTCCCTCATGACCTCACGCTCACCTTAGCGTCAGGTTATTTGTTATATACTGGGAATATCATTGTTGGTCCGTTGACTCCAATTCCACGCCTGTACGACGGGAGAAACTTGGTATTGATTCCTATACTCCTCGATTATCTATAAACTTCAACTGCTGCACTAATTGTTCTTAGATATGGTTTTATTAAGCTTTCGACGTTGACATAAAAAGGTCGATAAATTCTGGCTTGGAAATCGTTTTCCATTATGGGCTATCGGTGAAAGAGAATTTATTACTTTTAATACTTTCTCGGTCGATCACGTGAGGTAAATTTATGAAAATTGTCGCACAAGAATTTTTTTAAGAAAGCTATTGTGTATGTGTCGAAATTTTTGCATCAGTTTATTCAAAGCGAGACAATTCAGAATTGAACCATATTAGAAGACTTAACCGCTTAATAAAACCGTCCATCTTCTGAACTTTTGTTCATTGAATAAAACATGAGAACAGCCAAGCTCCATTAAGTAATCCGTACTTTCTTTAAGAGGCTGCATCCAACATTCTAGACTTTTCCTTCCTACGGATGAGCTGTTGCGAGGAAAATAAGAGACAAAGATTTACAAAATTATTTCCACGAATTGAAACTTACCCAAGTACTGCTTCAAAGTCTCTAAAATAACCGTAATTAGGATGTAGTTAACGATGCGTGACTTCTGGAAAACTACTAAATAGCTGGTCGAGAAGACAAAACGGGACCTACTATCGCAATTTTTCATCTGATTCTCATTAACGGGAAAGAATTTTATCTTTATATTTCATATTTCCAGCGAATTATTTGCAATGGTGAAAAAACAATCGATCGAACTCTGTGGTTGTTACTATTTATAGGTGGGCTTCTCAACTCCCTGGTGGCACCATTCCTTAGGTTTTTGACTGGACAGGCATTGTATTGTTGGTTTACAATTACCACAACCAAGCACACAAGCTACAGGTTCGTCATCCCGCAGGCACCAAGAGAAAATCTCACAAAACATTCTTTCTTCACCAAAAGGCATCGACCAAAAATTATTTGTAATTTTCCGAATTGACAGAGTCCTCTTGGAACAAACCATTGTCCTACCGTGATGTGCCCATGATTTATTAGGTTAAGGAGGGGCTAGGTTAATGTTAGGTAGGGTAAGAGTTAGGTTAGGCTAAGGACAGATTAGGTTAGCGATGGTTACCCAGCAAGGATAGGCAGACAAAAATGATCTGTAACGACCAAATTACAAAAACAAAATCCACCTGAAGTGCAGATCATTTTTAAGGTTAATCTCCCCATAGGCATCAAGAGGAAATCTCACAAAACTTTGTTTCTCAGATTGCAATTCGGAATTGACAGCCCTCTTGAAACAAATTCACAATTCTAAAAAAATAAAAAATAAAAATTACCTGACTCGTTTGGCGTCAACGATTTTGAGTTACCAGGAGTGTCCATGGTTTGGGTTAAGTTACTTTAGGAATGGTCAGGTTAGTTATGATACAGGTTAGGTTAGGTTAGGTGGGTTATGTACGCGAAGGTTAGCGGGAGTTTCTTTAGTCTTATTGCTTATATTGGCGAGAGTTTTCATTTTACGCCTAGGTACACACTAACGATTTCTGGCTGACTTCAATAAAATCGTAGAAAAACGTATTTTTATTTTTAGTAATTTGGTCATTACCGTTCATTTTGGGCTGCCGATCTTCGCTGGACTGGTCTGTTAGACATAGGCCAAAATGGCCAAATTACAGGTTCATCACACCTCAGACTTTAAAAGGATATCTCAGAAAACATTCTTTTTTCACCAAAATACATCATCTTGTAAATAAATTATAATTGTTCTGAATGATAGGAAGTCTGGAACACTCATAGTAGATAATACTAAAAAAATTACGTGTCCATTTTGGCGTCAACGATTTTGCGTTACAGGGAGTACCCATGGTTCGGATTAGGTTACATTAGGAATGGGCAGGTTAGTTAGGGTAAGGGTTAGGTTAGGTAGGGTTATGGACGGTCTAAGGTTAGGTTAATAGGGTTAGGGACGGGCTAGGTTAGGTTAGGGAATTAGATTAGCAAAGGTTAGAGCGAGTTTCTTTAGTCTTATTGCTTAAATTGGCGGTTTAGTTAAATTTTACATCTAGGCATACTCATTATTATGGACCTGTGATCCATAAAACGGCTAACCTCAATTAATCCTGCGTGAGCTCGTGTTACAGTTCGCAAATGCTTATAATAGGATCGGTCTAGCATCTCATATTAGAGACGTCTCATTCGCCTAGCCTAATTTCTCAAACAACTTCTACACGTTGTCAGAACTGTAGCGGATGATGTAAAGGGTTGTTTTTCCTTTGTATGACAGAGCTTTTAATGAAACATGAGGGAAGAAGGAACTGGCTACTTGGCCATGTTCGACTTTCTGCGATTTGGGTTTGAAATAGTACAAGTTATTCCTAAAAATTTTATTTTGGAAAAAATTCAAAAAACGTTCATTTGAATTTTCCGCAGTGCATTGCAATCAAAGACTGGAGTGGGCGAAAGCCTATTAAACGGGGTCGGAGGTCAAAGGTGGAATTGATCAAGTAGATCAAAGTACAGTAATGGGCTCACATTAACGATAAATGTAAGGACTAAAACTGGATGACCTTTCCGATCGATCTACAGAATACTTGTCCTTGTTCTATTCATTGCACATGCACGGTTGTACACTGCTGGGAAAAGGTTGGTACATACGTCTGGGAGATACAAAAGAAATTCATTTTTTCATATTTATTAATGGTTCAATGGTCACCGTATGAGGGTACGCCTTAAGCTGTTTAAAAGGTGGGCTTCAATTTAAGAAAAAATCTTAGGGTATTTCCTTTGGAAGTAAGTTGGAACTAAAGTTAAATTTTCATCTATGTGTACGGACCTGTACAGGCTGTTTTACCTTGTATAAAACAAGTCTGTTTTGTGTCTTTGCTAGTATAGAGAGGTAGCCACTCTTGCACCTCGATCTGAAAGACATTTTTTGTCCCTCTATTTTTACCAGTGGTTACTAGGTTTTTTCTATCAATCAAGTTCCATAGCCTGGCTAGTGGTTCTTTTGTATACGAGATTTAAGTTCAATTGACTCGATCGTTCTTTTAAAAAGTACTAGGTCATTGACAGTCATTGCTGCAATTCCATTCCTTGGGTTTTGATGGTATCGCAGGTTGTCTCCACCGAGCGGAATACGAAGACTATATGGCTGTTTATGCCTTGTCATTGCTTACCTAAAAATTAGGTCATCACTGAATATACCCATGCTATTTAGATGTTCTCTCAGTTGACAGTGGCCGATCTGTCCTTTCTCAGAGTTCAGCTTTATCTAACTGACGAACCGAGATTGCCAATTTTGGTGAGGGTTCTTTTATCATTTGTATCGACTGGCATCTAGGGTTCGTCCATGATGTCTTTTTTGGATCCATTCTGAGATAAAGAATTCTGGGTTTCATTTCGTCAGCTTAAATATAGGATCAGGTTCCCCAAAATTCCTTGCGCAACTTGACTGATTGCCTATTGTATGCCGTACAATTTTATTTGATTTTCGCACGGTTTTTTCTTTGTAGGATGTTTCTGGTGTCATGTAGCCAGTCCACGGTAAGGTCAAGTTAGGTTAGATTGGATTGGGTTAGGTTAGAATAGGTGCAAATTCAACCTACCAAGTTCAACTGTCATTCTAGTGCTAGCACATTCTAAAGTTACAAGTCCAGGTTTTGGCGATTGTCCTTAAATGAACTTTTCCGCATGCCCCTGGGGTTAGTACACTTCTTTTGTTTTTGTGAACCCATTCTGAGATGGAAGAGTCGGTTTTGATATTGTCATCCTAAATATAGGTTCAGAGACTATATATGGTCTTGCAGTTCCTCCGGCCAGTTTGTCTGCTTTTTCATTACCCGTTCCTTTGTGTCCTCGCATGTCAAGATGACATCAGGTTGTTACGTTTCCTCAGGTTTTGAAGATTTTGAATGCATTCACTGACTATTTTACAAGTGACCTTTCTACATGCCAATGATTAAACAGTTGCTTGGACTATACTGGATTGCATTTGGCCTTATGAGGATTTTGTTGTCAGTATGACCTCTTCACTGTTACACAGAAAGTGTGACGGCTTTGCGGGAAAAATTGTTTCCAAGGAAGGTTTTGTATAATTACTATTTGGAAGTCAATTTGGCTACAGTCAAATTTGGAAAACTAATGATAACTTTTTAAAAGCGTGAGAAAAAATCGGCGAATAACAGGCGCACCCATTACCAATTGAGAATAATTGGCCTATGATACTGACGTACTGACTCATTTTAGGGGATCGGATATGGCAAGGATTTCAAATAACGGCATGCCTTTTCTTAGAGCTGCACCAACGGAATGACTCACGACCATAGCTCACATGAAAGTCACTGTTTTTAATATAGAAATTTTGATTTGGATCGAATTTCAAAAACTAAACTAAAATAATGTTTAATCTGTTTTAGATGAAGAAGAAGCTTACGTTGATAGTTACGGGAAACGGGACGGTGGATGTCTACGAAGAGGAAGATTACCTTTGGCCGGAAGCCCTCGGCTTTATTTTGATAATAGGCACTGTTTTAAATTTGACACTTATTGGTGTAACAACGACAATGAGATATAAAGGGCATTTTCCACACTTGGTCACTGCACTCAGTTTTGTAACAGCTTACGACTCAATCGTCAACCAGACGCTCTCTCTTCTGTTCATTCTCGAGTGGTACGATTCAGCAGTACCAAGGTTCCTCTGTAGATTTTCAATGATTTCTTCAGTGTTCTCGTTACTGGTCCAATTATCCTACGTCGCCTGCATCTCGACAACATCTCTTATAAATAAGAGACAATGTCCAGTTACTTTGTATGTAGTCCTGCCTCCTATCATCGCTTCTGCCCTCGTCGCTCCCCCTGTCATCATGAACAGCAGCGTCGTGCCAGTCCATCACTACGTCCAAAGGTAAATAAACAATCGTATAAACTATAGACAATAAGTATTTATTAAGAGAATACGTGACCCTATTTTTTGGACACCATCGCTACCGCCCTTGAGAAGAAAGCAGTCCGGATGTCTTCCTTCTATAAAGCATTTACCCGGTATGACACCTAAGCATGTTGTGGAACGTGAAGGCAGAACATCCTCACAAATGTTACCTCATCGTAAGAACATACATACATAACAGATCTATCGAACAAGTAAAGAATAAGTCCTTGGCATGGCACTGAATTCCAGGTAAACTATCATAACTACTAAACTCAGGACGGGTTAGCACTAGAATGATAGTAGGCCAATTGAGGTGGCATCTAGGCGGGCAATAAATGGCCAAGGAAAGTTCAATAAGGTCACCTATTGGTCCTGAATCGTTTTGTGGAGTACCAAATTGCCAAAAACGCATATCCATCAGCCAACGGGGTAAGAATAAGTTCTCGGTTCTATGGGAACTTATTCCAAGACAGATGTATGCGAAAAGATTTATAAAAACGCAGAAACTAACGGCAGAACTGCTAGAACTAGGATGGTAGTAGGACTGCTGACTCCTGATGAATATGTATAGACTCAAGGACAGCACACAAAGCATTATCATATAAAAATATCACATCCAAAATAATAGGTGAATTCATCCAAAATATACAACACCTGGGCAAACATAATCTGGCATATCTTGGGTGCCTGGGCACAAAGTAATCGGGGTAATGAACAAGCAGACAAACTGACCGGAGATGCAAGATATAGGCCCAGAAACTATAATTTGGATAATAAGATCAACCTAGACTCCTCCAACTCAGAATGGATCCAAAAAAGACAAAATGGGCGATCTCTAGAGATGTTCAGTCATAGTAAAAGCATGGTTAAAGTACCCTCGCCAAAACAGGCAATCACATACAGCTAAACTGGGTAAAATCAGGAGAGTGAGAAGGTTCTATACTGGCATCTGAGAAAACACTACTAAACTTAAGACCTGCCAGGACTAGAATATAGGACTGCTGACTGGACACTGGAGACTCCGGAGGCAGAAACAACCTATACAGATATTGCCAGGAAGAAGAAGAAGCAAGGGTATACCTGTGGTACGAATGCCTATGCGGGCTAAGATTCCTACTCCTGGGAGAAGAAAAACATTCTAGAGGATATGGTGTTAACAAAGGATGGTATGATAATAAGACTGCTGACTGGATACTGAGGACTTTGGAAGCCTGTCTGGAGCAGGACTGTCTACTGATGATCAAGCATTTACTAGACAGCCACAAAGAAATCGAATCCTTTCCTTCAAATCCGAAGTCTTCTATCCAAATAGAAAGAATAACACGTGACTCTTTCATGTAAGGGGACCTTGTACAAGTAGTATTTGTCTTAAGTCATGCCAAATCCCCAAACCTTCAAACCCATGCAAATTATTAACTCACATCCAGTCCAAATTATCCATTTGGTTAGCCAGTTATCTCAGGGATGTCCATGAAAAACTCAATGGCACCAAAACATATGAAACATTAACGGATAGAAATTAAGAAAACAAAGTGGTTTAGAACTATGTATACGATAAGTGTGTCCTCATTTTGTAGACTATCATGTAACTTTTGATAAAGAAATATCTTTCTTCTGATTTAGCATGTCTTTAGTTCAACAATTCCAAACGCAGATTATTAATGCATAATATAAATTCAGAGCGAACGTCAGTAAAAGTGTTTCCAAATTTGAAATTAGTCGGGTTCTTGCCATAAACAGTCAGACGTTATCTTTCAATTCGGCCCGCAACGCATGCAAAATATAATCTAGCCTAAACACAAACATCTATAATACAATCGCACAAATAAATAAATTCACACCTATGTACACTGCAGTCTGGCTAGCCAGTGGAGTTCTCGACATTCCTCCATCGTCCTGCTCCCTCCCACCCGATGAATATCGAGTACTCTCGGGTGAATGTTTGACGTCTTGAGAGTAAAACGAAGTTATAAGCGAGAATGGAGTGGGTTTAACCCCGCACCGAGGAAGTCGAGTACCCTGGGGCGGTGAATGAGACTAGAGTTTGTTTGTTGTATATATAACTGGGACGTACGACACGGCGTTGGTATTTTTGAAGAACTGCTTCAATTTCACATTTCCCCTGGTCAAGCCCCTGTCCTTTAAGGAACTATTCTGTAGTTGATAACCTGAAGTAAAAATGAGAGGCTAGCATTTCAGGATATCGACGTAGTTTACATACAAAAGCAGAGTGTCATCAGTAACAGATTGAGACGCTCAAACGGCTGCAGGTTGAAAAATACACGTGAAAGACCAGGAAAAGAAGTACAAAAACAGAGTGCCTGCAATGACTTTAGCTGTGTATCGGACGCTAAACTTCCCACATTATAATATATATATATATATATATATACACTAGATATTCTTCCATTGACCTACACACAGCAGTCATAAATCTAGTCTAAATTAGGTTAGGATGGAGTATGTTTATAAATATTTCGCTATCGACCCTAAACACACTGTTGGAAGGGCGATGGTGACGCCATATTTCACGATCAGCCCCACACCACTCACACTAATGAAGAACGCACAACGGAACAGGGACGCACAAACTCGCTACTATGCTCGAAAAGCATTCTTAAATCCGGCGGTATGCCCTCACACTCTCTGTAAGGAGCCAAGGTATGGCAAGCTTCTATTATGTAGGTCACATCCAGCAACTATTCACTGCATAAGGGACACCTGCGAGGGCATTTGCTTACTATTTGTTTTATTTTTTATTTGTTTATATTGTTTTCATAATTTTTTTCAGGAATGCCTGTGGAATGACCGGTGACAATATTATTTATTCGTCGTTCCTGTTAATAATTGGATTTACGAGTTCGCTGACTGCGTTGGTGTACTTCTTGGTTTTTATGAAATGTTACATCTGCGATAGCGGCGTTTTGACGTGCAACACCGACGAGGAGACTAGAGACCAGAGATACATCGCGGTTTTGATAATAGTTTGTTTTTTCACTTTAGTACCTTACACGGTTTCGGTGAACGTCACAAACTTCATACCGTTGCGATCACTCAGAAGAGCTGCAATTGGATCTTCCGTCGTTAAGATCATAACTGGGAAGTACGACACGGCGTTGGTATTTTTGAAGAACTGCTTCAATTTCACATTTCCCCTGGTCACGTTCCTGTTCTTCAAGGAATACCGGAAACAGTTCAGCAGCCTGTTTTGCATATGCAGGAGAAATTCCGTGTCGGCCGACGGTCTGAACTCGGAAAGCAGCCGTCGCTCGTCCAAACTGAAGGACTCGGAGGAAACGACACCCGTCCTCTTCTGCACGGCGCGCGGCCTCATTCTGAGAATTAAAGAGGGAAAATCGGATACGAACTATTATTATCAAGTGTGCGATCGATACGGCCAGATGGAATCCGTCATGCAAAGTACGTCAACTGAAGAATCGATCAGGATGAAAAAACCAGTCGGACCTAGAAGAAAATTTGTAAGATTCTCGCATTACGTCAAGGAAATACCTCCTAGTCTGACGGAATGGGATTTTAGTGATAACGAAGGAGGTAGCCAAATCAGTTGATTGAAACTGCTAACCAACTCCAACTTACGCTGAACCAACATTCATATTCGGAACGTATTCTTACTCCCCGAGTGAAGACGACCCAATAAGTAATCCGGTCTGAGGATGAGTTCTCCGACTCGCAGACCAACACCCATCATCAACTCCAACCTAAACATCATAACACTTCTTGACGATGTAATTCCATCCATAAAAACAAACGCCAATTAAGGATTTTGTCTGTGATCTATAAATTATTCATAAGTTTGGTTTACTTGCATTGTTTGCGGTTTTTCTTTAGTTATAGATTGTTTTTTAATAAATGCATTTGATTGGAAATTTTTTAGAAATAAAGTTATACTATTTTATACAACTCGGTATTCTTTTCTCCTGTGTTATACTAAATCAGATAATCAACTGTGGTAACTGCAAGTGGATTACGTTTCCATTAGGTGCAATGCTGGAAGTCGCAACATCGGCTTAAACCAGAACCGTCGAGTTCTGACGATTACTAATGGAGCAAGCAACCTCAGATGCCGCAAGGAACAAAATCATCGCAGCAGCTCACACGTTTCTTAAATGAGGACTGCAAACAGTTTCGTACACTACAGAACCGCTAGCCAGGTGATACTTAATCAATTCAGACAGGTTACGAATGTCTGAGGTATATACACTGTGGCGGTTGAGTGCTACGATACTTGTGGTAACTGTGCATCTGTGCGAGAGTTGGCTGGAGTCAATTGATTTAAAAGGTGATGTCTTTTGAAGAAGAAAAAATGTTTTGAGAGATTTTTCCTTGATGTATGTGGGGTGATGAATCTGTAGCTTGGTTGTGTGGTGACCACCTGTGGTTAACAAGTTATCAGGTATTATCACTGTTCAACAATAGTCTCGCCTTTCAAGCTGCGACCAATGAGCTTGCAGGGGTTCATCCTGTTTATTTCAGATTGGTCGAAGAGGTCTCAATTCTCACTTATGGAGCAAGCCATCAGCACTAGCTGACTAGCTGGCTGCTTGCTGCATGAGGCTCTACTGAGTCTATTACTCTACAACATCCGCCTCAGTTGTCAGAATGTCAGTTCACGAACTTCGAATCGACATCCCATGGGTATGTAACCAAATCCATCCCTAACATTAACAGTAACCCTAACCTAACCAGTACCCTAACCATCCCCAACCTACCCCGGCCTAAAACTAATAGTTTTAAAAGAAATTGAACAACTTTACAAAACTGTACTCGGCAGCTAACCATAGATATGGGTATCGTAGATCTTGAGATGCAAAATTTGTGAATGGGCTTAAATACATTTATTCGTGGCTTTAAAAGGTGCTCTGAAAAAGTTCTAAAAAAATTGCATTCTGATATTTTATCATCCTCACAGAAAAAACATTAAAAAGGGTATTTAACCAACCTAACCTAAACCGTCCGTAACATTAACCCTAACCTAAACAGTACCCTAACCGTACCTAACCTAACCCTCTCAACACACAATTGTTGTAAAATAAATTGACCTACATTAGTGAAAGTCTTTTATATTATTTAATATTTTTTCTCTGCTCCTAAGGCAAAATTATTATCAAATATGCTCTTTAAGGTTTAAAACAATTGATTATATCTTAGTATGGAAATGCCTTCCTTTTGTGTCCTTTTCTTTGAAATACTTTCTTATTACGTACAACGGATTTTCCAATAAATTCCCCATTTAATAACACCCTGCTATTATACAGGGTGTCCTTTTTAGATGACCTGGCTGAATTTCTCTTGAACCAATGATGCTATAAAAAATAAGTGTTTAATATTTTTTAGTCTAGTTTCAAATTTTTACCTTTTTTTGGAAAAAAGTATTCAGATTACCATAAGCTCAGTTCAACTTCAAAATTTCAAATACGTCCCTATACATCCTGATACATCATTTTAAAGGACGTTTTACGCTGAAAAGAATGGTGCAATCGGATTTTAAATTGGTCAAAAAATGACAAACTCATGGAAAAACGTTCGAAATACGCATTTCGTTTGGTTCGTTGTTAATTCAAATAATTTGCGTCATAACTAAAGTCAACATGAATTACATTTATTGTTTAGATACTGCCATTGTTTGTCAAACTCGTATTATCAGAGCAAATCTTAATCTCTGGAAGTAAATAAATTTTACAGTCGAACTATTCGTTTCATTCACATTCAAAATAAACCGAAGAGCACATTTTTCCATCAACAGCGAGTTGATATGTATGACTGCTTTATTGATAGTGATGGTACATTGCAGTCGAGTTGTACTCCCAGAAAATTTCTGATCGCCTCAGAGTAAACCAAACACAAAACGGTTATTCGTGTTGCTTGCAATATGAGGAGGTAAGGATCAGTTGCTGTTCCATCACCAGAAACCGACAGAGTAATTTCGACGAGGAGCTGAATATTTTACTGCATCCATTATGTTTAGAGGTCTGATTGACCAAATTATTTCTTTCATTTAATCATTCTTTGTATGTAAAGTCTTGGTCCGAAGACGAAGGTCGTGGGTTCGAAACCCGCTTCTTCATTTCGACCAAGATCTTACATACAAAAAATAATTTTACTGTATTTTCACCGATTCGTCCTCCTCCGGAATGTTGGAAGGGCTTTAGGTTTTTCAAAAAATAAAATTTTAGATTTACTCCGGACTTACAATTTTAAGCCGTATCGCTCTCATCTTGTCCAAGGACTTCGGGGCTCTGTTATGGCGTCTAAACTATCCTAGCATGAATGTCGATTTGGGAGGCTGAAGAAAACATTATTCCATACATCCTATGGAATGATGAATCCAAGTTTACCTCTAATGGCATACTAAACCGTTGGAATTTTCGAACGTGGGCAGAGGAAAATCCGAGAATTTCGGACTCTTGTCATCATCAGGTATCAAAGTTTGGTGTGGACATGTCGAAAATAAATTAATTGGTCCTTTTTTTTACGAAAATAATTTCAATGGTGTTCAGTTCCTCAATTTTTGAGGGAGGTTTTACCAACACTATTAGACGATGTTCCTCTGCAACGACGAAAAATGATTCTCCAGCTTGATGGATGCTCCGCATACAATTATTTGCAAGTTAGACGTTATTTGAATAGTCACTTCCGGGATAGTTGGATAGGACCTTATGGCCCGATCTGTTGGCCCTCCTCAGTCACCCGATTTAACTGCATTTGACTATTTTCTGTGGGGGCCATTCAAAAAACAGTGTCTTCTCCAATTATTACCCGGCAACCTTAGTTGAAGAACTGCGGCAAAGGATTGAAAATGCTTGTCAATCCGTCTCCCCTGACTCTATCGCTCTGGGCACCGGTGAAGAGTGGTTAAAAAGAACAAATCTTTGCATACTTACGCAAGTTAGGCAGGTTGAACATGAAATGTGATTAATAAGTAGCAAATCAAATGACTGGTTTTTCCAAACTTTTTGCCAAAACTTTATTTTTTGACCAATTTGAAATCCGATTGCACCATTGTTTTCAGCGTAAATAATCCTTTAACATGATGTGTCAGGATGTATAGGGTTGAATTTAAAAGTTTGAAGTTGAAATGGGCCTAAGGTACCCTATAAAAACTTTTTCTACAAAAAGGTAAAAATTTGAAACTAGACCATAAAATATTAAACAAGTATCTCTTTATTTATTTTTATTTTTATTTTTTTTTGCTAGAGTCATTGGTTCAAGTGAAATTCAGCCTAGCATTTAAAAAGGACATCCTGTATATTAAAAATGGTTTGTGCAATGTTTTCCGTGGGGCAATATTTTGTGCGGGAAAAACAGAGAAAACCCTCTCTAAGAAGGGGGGAAAAGAAAGAAAACTTTCGAATTTAGGCTCGGTGATGTGTGAGAGAAGCTGTTGAAACAGAAAATTAGACTTAAGTAATTCCCTTTTTCTTGTATAATTTTCGCTTGCACTTGTTCACATCGCTGGCCAAATACGAAAAGAGGATTACTATTTGGAGGCCCTTCAGGTAAGTAAAGAAAGTTTTTTAATTTGCCCCAAATTTTCCTTTAAGAATTTATTGCACTCCTGAGCTCTTTTAAAAGATTGGAGTCTTCAGGATTTAAGGGAATGGAGGGAGCTTTCATTTATTCAAGAGAAAGAAAGCTTTTCAGGCTTTGTTTGCTTTTTACAACAGTATTTGAAAAACGAAATCTACCACTATACAATAAAACAAATTTTGGCACTACCCAGCTGAGATACTTGTAGTAGGGTCTACTTGCTACGTCTCGCTGCCCAACAAGTCGCGAGGCAACTGACGCTTCAATTTCCTTGGGGGATTATTGGGGTTAGTTCGATTGTTAGGCTTAATACCTAGGGGTAGGGTAAAAGTTATGTGTTGGCTTTTGTCTACATTTTATTTTATCCGCCACTTTTTCAGTCAAGGTTCTATGTTGAATAGGTGAGCCTGTAGGATGCGCTGGGGGGGATCTTTATTGGAGGATAGGATAGCAGTATCATCCGCAAAAGTGCGAAAAGATGTGTTCGGGATGGGTAGGGAGGCCAGCGGTATTCGTTGAATAAAGGATGGGGCCAAGTACCTGAGGGACTCCAGTCTTAACAGGATAGTAGTCGGAGAATGGTGTTCCCTGGCTGACCTGAACGAAGCGGTCAGTCAATATGATCGGAATATTAGGAAGTAAGTCAAGGGAAGAGGATGCTCTTGAGCTTACACGGCAAACCCGGATGCAAGACCCTATCAAAGGCTGGAGACACATAAAGAAAAGCTCCCGAGCAGTTTCAGTTTAACAAAGGAAAGGTAGTGCCTACAACACGGTGACATTGCTGTAGAGTGGTGTTTACAGAAGCCAAACTCGTGAGACGGAATAATGTTTTGTTCTTCTAGGATCTCCTCATCGTTTTTTTAAGAGGATTCCTTAGGATTTTTTACTAGTATAGTTAAAAGGTTTATCGGGAGATAGGATTGGCGTAAATGGATGGATTTATGAGCTTTGGGATCATTTTTTCAATAGAAAACTTCCATTGTAAAGGAAAGTGATGTAATTCTTAGGACAGCATTATTAGGTATGTCTGGATGGAGGATTGCATTTTTAGGTAGGGATCGAAGGATTTCAAAGGTTATAACGTTATATCCAGTAGCTTTCTTGTTGAGAAGGTTTTTCGATAATGTACTGGATTTCTGAAGGATGAAAAGCTTTTGGGGAAAGAAAAAGAGGTAGTGGATGGTCTAGTTCTTTTCTATGGTTTCTGTATGATCCGGATTTATTATGACAGGATGAGGGCTCGAGCTCGTCGTTTGGAGGTTAATAATTATCAGATGTAAAGTGATATATTTATTGGTAGTAATCTAGTTGTATGTGTGTATAAGTTCAGACTGTGCTTTTAAAT